GAGGCCAATGTTGGAGGCGATCACCACGGTCAGGGCAGACGCCAGCTCGATGCTGAAACCACTGCGGAGACAGAAAGCGCATGAGAAACCCGGGATCACCTGGCACCACCCGGCATGGCCAGGGGGGCTGAGCCCACGCCAGACCTGGCACTGCTCACCCCAGGCAGACCCTGCCCAGTGGGGCCGCCTTTCCCACTTGGCTCTCCAGCCCCCCCGCAGCCCCCCATGAGGGATACAGGGAGGTGTTATAGGGCCACACACCCCCCAGCTCCACCACTGGAGCAGTGAAACCCCTAAGGAGAGCACGGAGAGGGGTTCCAGGAGTGGGACGCAGCTCTACAACTGCCTGAAGCCTCCCCCTGCCCCGTGGCAGACCTTACCTCGATGGCGTGATGGGAGTCAGATCCTTCCCCATCGTCTGGATGACTCTCCTGCCCCAGACCCACAGGCCGATGCAAATCCCTGCTCCTCCGTAGAGCAGCAGCCAGATGGGAGTTGCCACGTCGCCCGTTTGATAGACCAGGTAGAGTGTGACCAGGGGCCCTATGGCATTGCTGGAAGAGAAAGGAGAGCTGGTCCAGAGGCTCTGGGCGAGGTGGGGACCAGCCCCGGCTAGAAACCCCACCGCTCCTGCCAACCCAACCAACCTGACGTCGTTGCCACCGTGAGCGAAGGAGCCAAAGCAGGCGGTGAGGATCTGCAGGAACTGGAAGAGCAGGGACACCTCAGGCTTGTCCTGGTCATGCCATTCTTCTAGGGAGCTACTGCTGCCCTTGTGGTCACTGACACCCATCTCCACCTGGGCCGTGTTCAGATCCACATCAGCTGCTGGGTGGGCATCCGCCACCGCGTTGCAGTAGCTGGTGTAGCTGTCCATGCGGACCCTCTTCTTGGTGTCCGCCACGGGCCACGTCAGCTTCTCCATCTCCTCCGCCTCCTTGGCGCGGAGCGAGTCCAGCGGCATGCCGCAGATGGCCATGGTGTAGGAGGTGTAGCTGTTGTTGCGCCGCAGGGGCTTGTCCCCCGAGTCCCCCATGCAGTCCCCCACCTTGGCCAGATGCAGTTTGTGCAGCAGCTCCTTGTAGAGGCCGGAGTCCTTGTGCACGGTGTGGTACTGGTACTGCCCGCCAGAGCTCAGCTGGTGGCCCATGCTCTGGTTGAACTGGACAAGGCTGCCATTCCCGGCCCCTGCCGAGGGAGACGGCAGGGGTTCAGCACCCAGGGGTACCCAGGGGGTGGTGGGGAGACCCCCCCAGCACTCTCGTGTCAACCCCCCAGCACTCACCACTGTCGATGCTGGTTTCCTTCAGGTCAAGGCTGGGGGTTCTCTCCTGCTCCGGGGCCTCCTCCAGGTCTCCCAGGTTGAAGGAGACTGTCCTCTCCTCCACCGCTGCCCGATGCGGCACAGCCGGCCCCGCGTCAGCAGTGGGGCTCTTGGCATCGCCCGGGGGCACCTTGGGCTCCTCGTGGTCCTCCTTGGGGCTGATGTTCTTCTCCATCAAGGGGCTTTCCGAAGGA